GGATGACCATTTAAAAAAAAGTACAGAAAGAAAATTATTTCAAATTTAGCAAACCTGTACGGAAAAAAGATAGAAACATGGAGATGGAAATTGTGTTTAAAATTGAAGCCAAATGATAGTCATATGGTTAAAGAACTTGTGTTATATGCCATTAATTTTGCTGAAATCATGTGAACAAACATTAAATATTATCATTAGCATGAACAACATCTAGCAATCATTAGTTTCTTCTGAAAATACTCTGGATGAAAAAATACAAAGCTTTGTAAACAGAATACCACAACTAACCAATAGAAAAAATCATCTGCATATTTTTGAGATTTAAATTGCAAAAGTATTATAAAATGACACAATAATAATTGGAGATTTAGTCCCAACCATAGTCATGTACAACTTCTATTAAAATGGGCAATTCCTTTGAGAATTCTCCACATCAAATTTTGTTTTTATGAAAAAGAAAGTATGTCCCACCTAGAGAGTAATTATGAGATAAACTGCAGAGTATTTACTAGATTTTATTAAGAATTCTTCAATAATGAAGTAAATACATGTATGTGGCAAGTCCATGTAAAAATTTCGGCTTTTAGTCAATATTGGGGGTTGGGGGTGCTTATTCAGAAAAAATCTAGCAATTTGCCTGTTCTACTCTCAGAAGCTCATTTTAAAGTATTTTCCCCAAATTGTAAAACATAGGTACAAAGAAAATTTCAAAAGGCATTCCATTTTTGTGGAGGGAATCATCACTCCAGTGAAACCTCCAATACAAGCCTCTAAAGACAAACCAGGTTTAATTATCCTCAACACTAATATTTTTAAACTTGAATACACCACTATACTATCACTTGAGGCTCATTTATATTACAAGTATTAAGGTAAATATTTGGTCAAAATATCCTCAGTAATACTGAAAATATAAAGGGATCATCGTGTACAGGTTGAGTAGTCCCAATGTGAAAATCTGAAATCAGTCATCATCATTTAAAAAATCATCTATTATTTTTCACTTTATGTTTGTGTGGGAGCAAACTGTTGAAATCTTTACTTAATGTATGCTAAACTGATCTTCTGTATATAAAGAGAATCGAAAATGAATCCTCATGTGAATGGAAGGGGAGAGGGAGTGGGAAAGGGGAGGGATGCGGGTGGGAGAGACGATATGGGGGGGAAGCCATTGTAATCCATAAGCCGTACTTTGGAAATTTATATTCATTAAATAAAAGTTAAAAAAATGAATAACTTCTAATTCTATATTCAGTGAAAATGTCTTAAAAAAAAAAAAAAAGAAAATCTGAAATCAGAAACTTTTTTTTAAAATCCCAAACTTTTCAAGCATCAAACTGATGATCAAAGAGTTTGAGATTCCAGAGCACGTCCAACTTTTCAGGTTTCAATTTTTGTACTGAGGATGGTCAATCAGTAAGGTCTATGCAAATATCTCACAATCAGAAAAAATTCTAAAATCTGAAATACTTTTGGTCCCAAGCATTTTGGATAACAGATACTTATCCTATAATTTTTTCAATGCTAGCCTAATTAATGAATTGTAACTATAACAAAAAATTATATGAATAGAGGACTTCTCAAATAACAAACCAATTAAAAACCCAACTAATAGGCATTTTAAAGGCAAATAAAACATTACCCTATTGACACATTAAAATAACTCACTTTAAAGTTAGGCACATAGGGGCCGGTGCTGTGGCAAAGCGGGTTAAGCCGCCGCCTGTGATGGTGGCCTGTTTGGAGTCCTGGCTGTTCCACTTCCAACCCGGCTCTCTGCTATGGCCTGTGAACGCAGTAGATGGCCCAAGTGCTTGGGCTGCTGCAGCCACGTGAGAGACCTGGATGAAGCTCCTGGCTCCTGGATTCAGCTGGCCCAGCCCTTGCCATTGCTGTCATTTGGGGAGTGGGCCAGCAGATGGAAATATCTCTCTCTCTCTCTGACTCTGTCTTTCAAATAAATTAACATTCTTTTTAAAAAATTAAGCATATCTCATGTGATCTTAAAAATTAAGCAATTAAGTATATACTGGAGCTGGCAGTGAGACATAGGGAGTAAAGCTGCCACCTGTACCACCAGCATCCCATATGGGCACCAGGGATGCCAGTTCAAGTCCTGGCTGTTTTACTTCCAATTCAGGTCCCTCTAATGGCCTAGGAAAACAGTGGAGCATGGCCCAAGTGCTTGGGTCCCTGTACCCACATGGGAGACCTGGAAGAAGCTCCTGGCTCCTGGCTTTGGCCTGGCCCAGCTCTAGTTCTGGCCAATTGGAGAGTGAGCCAGCTGAAGAAAGACCCCTCTCTTTCTCTAACTGCCTTTCAAATAAATAAATCTTTTTCAAAAATAAAGTATATAATAATTAAAAACCTAACAAGTTGTTATTATTCTGCCTTTCAAAAGTATGGTAAGCCTACACTACAAAATTTAAATTATTAGTTATATAAATCTGAAAATATATGGTTAGCTTACTATTTTTCTTCTAAAAACCTCAAACAAAAAACTCACAAAAGAGAAAACAACCTGCAATGTCACTGTTCATTAAATAAAAGCAATTAAATAGAACTTCATGGGTCAGATCACTCTATCTTCAACTACTATACATTAACTTTTTATATACAAAAATATTCAGAATAAATCTATGTAAAATTACCTCAAAAAGCTATCATTACTTTAAAACAGAAAAAGCCATAGGGAAAGATGTTGTAAAATTTTCACATAAACGTGTGTATGTTGGGAATTAAAAGTATCTATATATACCTCCTCAATTTCAAGTATCAAAACTTCTTTGGCTAAAAAATTAACGTTTATATATCTTGATTCAAACAAATTCTTTCAACACTTATGATTAAAATTAAATTCTTGAACAAGAAAAACGTTTTACACAAATTTATTGCATCCGAATAAGCATTTGCAATAATACACTGTTTACCTCTCCATAAACACCAGCACTATAAATGTATTACAATACTGCCGAAAAGGCAAAACATGAAATTTATAAACAATTTATACACAATTATGCAATTGTGTACAAATTCACACACTATTACAATATGCTGTCTACCAAAATACATCCCACTCAAAAACATGTGAAATTAGGAAAAATATAACTCAAGGTATAATCATGATCTGCAAACAAGCATTTTTAAAGTTTCTTGGTATATATTCAAATATGCCCAAAATACATCATCTATACTAAAATACTACAAGAAGGTATTTTTATACCATAGACTATACCTCTTTGGCACAGTAGATATTAAACAACTTAATAATTGCAAATTTCATAAAAACACAATAAACTGAATATAAAGAAATTCTCAAGAAAAAAAATTCAATTCTTATCTAAAGGACTCAATAGGGTTATATTTTTAAATCACAAATACAAGATCGAATTAAAGATACTTTCCAATAAAATACTTGCCACTTACAGAGATATATGATCAGTTAACTTAAAAGATAAAATGTTATTTATATTTAAATTAAGCTCCAACACAAAATTTCACTGTACCTTAACAACACTTTTACTTGGTGGCTAAATGTGAAATGAATATTCATTACAGTTAAATTAGGAAAGAAAGCATTTTAAACACTGTTAACCTGACACTAACATTTGAGACCTCATGACTGATAGGAAAACAAATAATATCATAATTAAAGAGAAATTAAAGCATCTTAAAAGAAACTAAATTTTAATGCTTTTATAATCTGGCTTTGATAGTATACACTATAAAATCCCTCATGAATAAATTGTGTGCCTTTACATTCCTTTCTGGATTCCATCCCTATCTCACAGAATAACAACAACCAATTTTAAATAATAAACAGCAAGTAGTTTAAGTAGAATCTGAGTCTTTATGTCCATGAATAAGCTCTGTTCGAAAGTGTTAAATAACACTTTATTGACTTCAATAAAAATGCTCTTTACTAGCAGAATGCTGATGTTTGAAACAGAAATCTATCAGCATGAGCAAGATTTAAAACAGCTAGAGTAACAGCTGATCCCACACCATTTATTCATTTTCTCACAAAATTATAATATAGAAGTTACATGTATATTTGCATATTTTCTTAATGAATATAATGCTCTAATAAAATCATGTCAAACCTATTGTACATTTTTCATGAGAATCATAAAAATGCATTCAGTCTTTTTGAGATAGAAAACTTCAGCAAAAAGTCACACAGTTGTTAGCAACACTAAAAGTCAAATATTCTTATCCCCATTATTCCACAATTCCTGTAAGTGCAGGGTATACCACAGCACAAGAATTCTTTAAAAATACGTATGAAAATCATGGTTATATTTTTTAACACATTTGTCTTCTTCATTGCTATGACAGGGGTGTATCTGTTTATTTTTCATTCTCCCTGCCATTTCTTAAGTCAATATATATAAGCTATACTGTTTACATTGAAATCTACTGCTTGAGTCTTCATTAATTAAAGTTAATGCTATCATACTATCTACTTCTATTTTATTCAAAAATTATTACAATGTAAATCAATCTAGACATCATATAAATTGATGCTTATTTTCAAAGTGATTTCATAATCTTAAATACCTAATTTTTTTTTCATTTTCAATGGGTCTTAATAAATGGGAGAACCATACTGAATGGCAATTAAAAACAATCATCAAGTATAGAGGAGATGTCCATTATCAATTTATTGAGATATGATTCAGTTTCACCAATAAGATTATCTGCCAAAATTAAAAGACTCAGAAAATTATCACAGTTTATATAAAAATACAAAATTGACAGTTCTGTATTTATAACACACCCTATGCTAGGTGTGTTAATACGGATATTTACTTTAAGGTTTCTGAGTTTTGGCACATTTTCTGGCCTTTCTTTCAAACTTGCAGGAAGACTGTGACCGAGTCTTTCTAAGGCAGGCACTCCTGGTTTTTACAACCTGCTTGCTGTTCCGTTGCTGCTGTTTGCGCCCACGCCTAGGGTGTGTTATAATCTTTTTAAAGTCCTTACAGATGGAATCATACCTATTCTCAGGATCATTGTCATCGTCATCATCATCCACTGTGACAGGCACTGATTTAGATAGAGCTTCATCTCCTTAGAGGGGAAAAAATATACTTAAAATTAGCTTTACATTATGCATAAATCTATCTAAAATAAAACTGAAAGCTAAAAATGTTAAAGCAAACCAGGGGATTCTAAACTATTCTGAAACCCGAAACACAAGTAAACAGAATTTTTATATAAAACAGGGAATTCATGAAGTACCAGCAGTAAAATGACAAATAATTGAATCTTACATATTTCAATGCTCCTTCACAGAAAATGAGTTTTATCTTTTTAATTTTTGAAAAAGAGTAAAATTTATTTATTTATTTATTTATTTGGCTGAAACACAGAGTTTGCATCCATTTTCCCAAATATAACAGCCAGGGCTAGACCAGGCTGCGGCTGGGAGTCCAGAAATCGATCTAAGTCTCAGTAACCCAAATACATCACTGACTGCTGCCTCCCAGTATATGCATTAGCAGGAAGCTGGAGTAAGAAATCAGAACTGGTAATCAAATCTAGACACTCTGATATGAGAAACAGGCATTCACACTGGCAGCTTAACCACTATGCCAAATTCCCAACCCAGAAAAAGGGTTTAAGGACCACTCTTCCCAGTAACAACTCTATAAACAATTCCCATCACATCGGCATAAGTTTCTTGCCTACATATACTTTATACTGGTCCATTTTTAAGTTTGAAGTGTCTAGTTTATCATGTATCAACAGAGAAAAGCAAAGTTGCTATTAATTACCCAGAGATAAACTCAAATACAGTAAAACAGATTTCCTTATGAGCAACAATATTTCTATACTAAAGAGACTTATGATATGGGTTCATTTCATTGTATGTAAAATTCACCTGTCAAAAAAACACATATTGAACTCCATTAACACTATGCATGAAGTATTTACAGAGTAGTATGTTAAAGTTCCTCAATTACTTCAAAATGCAGCAAACATTTCAAGGGTTTACACTGAGTGCAAAAAAGCCAATTTCAAAAGGTTATGTACTTTATAACTCCATTTCAAAATAAAATATAAAATCATAACCATGAAGAACAGATCACTAGTTCACAGGGATTAAGAGTTGCGATAAGGAGGGTGTGTCTATCAAGATGTAGCACTGGGGCCATCACTGTGGTATATCAGGTTAAACCATCACAGCATCCCATGTGAGTGCCACTTTGAGTTGCAGCTGCTTCACTTTCAATCCAGTGACCTGCTGGCACACTTGAGAGAGCAGCAGGCATGACCACCCAAATGAGAAACCCAGAAGGGAATTCCTGGTTCATAGCTTCAACCTGGCCCAGAACTGGCAATTGCAGCCACTTGGGAAGTAAACCAGCAGATGAAGGATCTCTCCTCCTCGTCTCCTTCTCTCTCTGTAACTGCATTTTAAATAAATAAATCTTTTTTTAAAAAAAAAGAAGTGGCAGGCCGGCGTTGTGGCTCAGTGGGTTAACACCCTGGCATGAAGCGCTAGCATCCCATATGGGTGCTGGTTCGAAACCCAGCTGCTCCACTTCTGATCCAGCTCTCTGCTGTGGCTTGGGAAAGCAGCAGAGGATGGCCCAACTCTTGGGCCCCTGCACCCACGTGGGAGACCCAGAAGAAGCTCCTGGCTCCTGGCTCAGGATCAGCGCAGTTTTGGCCATTGCAGCCAATTGGTTGGTGAACCATTGGATGGAAGACCTCTCTCTCTCTGCCTCTCCTTTGTATAACTCTGACTTTCAAATAAATCAATCTTTAAATTAAAAAAGAGGTGGCACAAGGAAGTTAATGATACACACAGTTTAATATCTTAGTTGTGGTGGTGGCAGTTATATAAAGATTACAGAAGTAACAGGATTGTAATGAACTATACTTATTTATACACATGTAAACAAATTAATATATGTGTAAAACTGGTGAAATATGAAAATATCTTCAGTTTCCGAGTTTTGACATTAATCATAATTATACAAACCATTACCACTGGGGGAAACTGAGTGAAGCATACCACCCTGTATTTATTTATTTATTTATTGCAAATTCCCTGTGGGGATCTATAATTATTTCAAAATAAAAAGCTAAAAAGCAAAAAAAAAAATTAGATACATGGTTGGACAAAAGGAAGGACATGGAAAAGATAAGTGATCAAGCAAACACAGTACAATGTTATTGGTAGAAATGTTTCTGTATAAAGTTTTTTCATAATAAAATGTTGAGGAGAAATACAGAAAAAATATATAAAGAATATAGACTCAACAAAGAAATATAAATATAGAAAGACAAAAGTAAATCACATAATATCTCAGTAAGTAATACAAAATATCTCTGTGCCTTGCAGTAAACTGAAATCTCTTAGGATCATGCTTTTGGTCATGTCACTCCCAAACTCAAATTTCCAGGAAAATGTACCTATCACAGACTGCCGAAATACTCCTTAATCAATTAGTATCTGTGAAACTCATTGGAAAGGGGAGCATTTAAGATCTAGTAAAAGGGGCAGGCACTGTAGCACAGCAGGTAAAGCCACTGCCTGCAGTACAGGCAACCCACACTGGCACCGGTTGCTCCACTTCCCATCCAGCTCTCTGCTACGGCCTGGGAAACCAGCGGAAGATGGCCCAAGTCCTTCTGGGGCTGACCCAGAAGAACCTCCTGGCTCCTGGCTTTGGATCAGCCTAGCTCCAGTCATTGCAGCCATTTGGGGAGTGAACCAGCAGACGGAAGATATCTCTCTCTCTCTCTCTCTCTCTCTCTCTCTCCCTCCCTCCCTCCCTCCCTCCCTCCCTTTCTCTGCCTCTCTCTAATTCTGCTTTCAAATAAATAAATCTTTAAAAAAAGATTAGTAATTTTCTTGACTAAATTAGGTTGAACATACTAGAGGAAACATGAATTTGGCATGCTTATAGAGCACACATATAAATTTTTTAAAAAAGATTTATTTGTTTCAAAGGCAGAGTGACAGAAACAAAGAGAGACAAACACAGGAAGAGATCTTCCATCCACTAGTTCACTCTCCAAATGTCCTTAACAGCTGGGGATGGGCAAGGCCAAAGGAACCAGGAGCTTCATCTAGATCTGAAGCAGAAGAGCTGGGACTTGAATCAGCACTCCAATACAATGTGGGTATTTGGGATGTGGGTGTCTCAAGAGGCGGCTAATCCACTACATTACATTGCCTGGCCGCCAAGAAAATTCTCAAGGAAGGTTAATTATCCTTAGCTCACAGCCAAGGCCCTTCATATTCTGTTCTGCTGGAGTAATTTCAAAGCCTGGGTTTGGATGTGTTAAATTCTCCAGCAAATTTATCTCCCCTCCACCCCGTCTAAAATAATCAGCTTAGTCTAAACTATACAGAGTAAAAATATCCCAAAAAACAAGGTTTGTGCCACAAAACCAACTGAAAGACAGGAATCTGTTGAAATGATGGACCCTCAAGGCTTCTCTACATACAACCTAGACAAAATGTTTACGTCCCAATCAGGCTCCTGCACCTTCAGATCAAAGTTTAAAAAACCAGGTGTTGTGGCACAGCAAGTTAAGCCACTGCTTGAGATTATTCCTGCATCCTGTATTAAGAGTGCCTGGTGGGGCCAGCGCCATGGCACAGTTTAATACTCCGCCTGCGGCGCTGGCATCCTATATGGGTGCCATTTCTAGTCCCGAATGCTCCTCTTCTGATCCAGCTCTCTACTGTGGCCTGGGAAAGCAGTAGAAGATGGCCCAAATGCTTGGGCCCCTGCACCCACATGGGAGACGCGGAATAAACTCCTGGCTTCGGATCATTGCAGCTCCGGCCACTGCAGCCATTTGAGGAGTGAACCAATGGAAGGAAGACCTCATTCTCTATTTATCCCTCTCACTGTCTGTAACTCTCTCTCTCTCAAAAAAGTAAACAAAAGCTTTAAAAAAAAAAAAAAAGAGTGCCTGGTTCAAATCTGAGCTACTCCGCATTTCCAATCCAGCTTCCTGCTAATGCATCTGGGAGGAAACAGATGATGGCTTCAGCTACTAGAGGCATTTGGTAAATCAACCAGCAAACTGAACATATCTTTGTCTCTTTATTTGTCACTATGCCTTTCAAATAAATATCTTTAAAAATTCGAAATGGAACACAATGATTTAGACTAGTGGATTAAAGAATTATAGATGGGACTGGCGCAGGGGTGCAGTGGGTTAAAGCTCCAGCCTGCAGCACTGGCATCCCAAATGGGTATTGATTCGAGTACTGGCTGATGCACTTCAGATCCAGCTCCCTGCATAATGTACCTGGGAAAGCAGCAGAGGATGGCCCAAGTCCTTGGTGAATAACAGAAAGCTTCTTATGTGTCAAATCAAGTGAGACTTTGGGAAATGCAGTGAAAAATTTGAAATCAATTTTCCAAAAGTAAAGATAAATTAAGAAGCATACAATTTGATATTGAGAATACTTAACATAATTAATCACAATTATTCTTACATTAATCATTAATAAGGTTTTCTCCAATTAACCTGATAACTAAAATATTCATTTGATAACAAAGTAACTATTATATTTTGCATTTAATACAAACCAAAATCCATATACACAATTCTGAAATGCAAAATGCTCTCAAAAAATTAAGGTGCTGTCAAAGTTCATTTGGCAGCAAAATCTTATCTGAACTGTTGATTCCTCTAAATCTGAATATTCAAAAATTATACTGCAAGAATACTGTGTTTGATTATTTGGGGTTGCATCAGATCCTACCGAGGCTTATATAAAATATATTAAATAACTAGTCTATATTATCTTTCGAAAAACCAAAAAAGTTGTAAATGTTTAAACATAAAAGCTCTAAGAACTTCAGGCAAGAGACTGAGGACTTTTAAGCACAACAACCAGGGCCAGCACTGTGGCATGCTAGGTTAAGCCTTTGCCTGTGGTGCCGGAATCCCATAAAAGCACCAGTTGAGTCCTGGCTGCTCCTCTTCCCATCCAGCTCTCTGCTATGGCCTGGGAAAGCAGTAGAAGATGGCCCAAGTGTTTGGGATCCTGCACTGCATGAGAGATCCAGAAGAAGCTCCTGGCTTCAGATCAGCCCAGCTCCTGCCGTTGCAGCCATTTGGGGAGTTGAACCAGCATATGGAAGACCTCTGTCTTTAACTCTGCCTCCAAATAAATAAATAAATCTTTAAAAAAAAAAAAAAGAACACCACTACCATCAAGAAGAATAGCATATTTACGCATACAATTTGTTAAAAAAAAAAATACAACAGCCATGGAGGCAACACTCCACCTACATACCTATGTAGCAGAGCATCAAACGGAAGTAGACATCATGCATATCACACTTGGTTTTCAAAGCAAGTAACTATACAAGTGTGCCATTAAAAAATATATAGTTGTATTAAAAAACAAGTTAAACACATTAAAACCTAACTAGGAAACATAAAGGCTGAACATTTTTAAAATTCTGCCTATGTTGGAAACAGCTTTATGTCAAATTTACTTTACAAAAATTTTTAAATGACTACTTACTTAAATGACTACTTACAAGTTACCAGTGCAAATTAATTAATTCAAATGATTTTAAAGAACTGCAATAATGATTAAAACATTTTTAAATTATCTTTCTTGGAATCATTGACCAGTTGATCCAAGCCCAAATGTTCCTGGTAATCTATCTTTATATAAGGGTGGTATAATCCACTCACTTGGTAAATTTTCTTTCTTCATTTTGATGATATTGTTTAAAAGCAAAGTATCTGTTCATGTTATTAGAAATTATGTAATGAACATCATCAAAGGGTTTTGACAAAGAAAAAAATTGTATTACTTCAGATGATTAAATGGGACAAGAAGTTATCTGTGGTAATGTAAAAAGCCGTATCAGGGCAGGCACATTGAGCCTAGAAGTTAAGATGCCTGGCTTTCCCATCAGAGTACCTGGGTTGAACAGTTGGCTCCAGCTCTTTTTTTTTTTTTTTTTTGGAGAGGTAGAGTCAAAGACAGACAGCAGAGAGAGAGAGAAAGATCCCTCCATCCATCCATCCATCCACTGGTTCACTCCCCAAATGGCCGCAATGGCAGGAGCTTGAATGATCTGAAGCCAGGAGCCAGAAGCTTCCTTCCAGTTGCCCACGTGGGTGCAGGGGCCCAAGGACTTGGGCAATCTTCCACTGCTTCCTCAGGCTACAGTTAAGAACCAGATCAGAAGTGGAGCAGTCAAGACCTGAACTGGTGCCCACATGGGATGTCGGCACCACAGGCGGTGGCTTACCTGCTTCGCCACAGCACTGCCCCAATTGGCTCCACCTCCTTGTTAATGCAGATCCAGGAAAGCAGCAGTGATATCTCAACCGTTTGGGTTCCTGCAACCCATGTGGACTACTGAGTTCAAAGCTCCCAGCTTGACGCCAGCCCAGCCCCAACTTTTGTGGGCATTTCAGGAGTGTACCAGTAGATGGGAGCTCTTTCTCTCTCTGCTTCTCAAATAAATAAATAGTAATATACATGACAAAGCAGTTCATACCAGCATCAAACAGTTATCTCCTTTACATGAATAAATATCTGCTGCCCAACTGACAGCAGTCTGACTGACTTTCCTTCATAAGCTACTGCTCATTACTCCAAAAACTGCATTAAACACTGATTTTAAAAAATGTTGCTATTTATCCAACAAATATGGGAATTCTTGATACAGAAAACAAACAATATTCGAAATACCATCCAATGATGAGATAAAAAATAGAGAAAGGTTTTATAGTAAATCCCTACATAATAGTTCTAAATTTGGCTTCAGGGCATATTAGCAGTTTTGCAAGAGTGGAAAACAAATTATGATTTTTAATTTATTTCTGCATACCTGATGATTGGCAAAATCCAGTATGTGAAGATACCACTAAATTTTCAGTCACGGGCTTAATTTTCTGCTCATCACTGCTCCCTTCGCCTATAGAATTCTGATCATCATCACCTATATCAGAAGAAGATGAGGAAGTAATGTCCGCTTGCTTCCTTTTAGTGCTTGTTCTTATGGAGTTTCTCTTTTTATCCTTGATATTGCCTGCCTTAGTTTTAGCTGATGTTCTTTGTCTCTTCTGCTTTTTATTATCTTCAGAACTTTCTTCTGCATCAGAAGATGATGAGCCAATTTGTATTTCCTTGGTATTTCTCTTTGAATTTAAGTTTCTTCTTTCCCTCAGTTCTATTCTTCTCAGTCTCTTATCTGGAGAATCACAACCATCTTCTTTCATAGAGTATTTCTCAGTATCAGATGACGAACAATCTTGTCTCTTCCTTGAACTCTTTTCAGACAAGCTGGACCTTTTCTTCGCTCTACCAGATGCTCCATTCCTATTCTTTTTCTCTTCTAAAGAGTCATAACTATCCCCTTTCCCTGGTAACTTCTCAGCATTATCAAGTAATTCTTCTTTCTTTTTAGAAGTTTTATCTTTTATTTTTTTACTTTTCTTTTCCCCATCAGTTGTGCTATTTTTATTTTGTTTTATGCCCTTTGAAAAATGAATTTCTTCTCCCTCAGGTGATTTCTCCATTCCATCAGATGATGATTCCTCTTGTTGATCCATTTTAATTTTTTTCTTGAAATCTGTAGTTTTCTTTTCTTTTCCTTCACTCCCCCTTTTACTCTGCTTTTTATCATCTTCAGAGGATTCGTCACTTTGCTCTTTCTTTGGGAATTTCTCAGCAACATCAGATATGCCACCCTGTACTTTCTTACAAATTTTGGTTTTCAGACGTTTGCTCTTTTCTTTAGCTTCAGCAACCTTTTTGTCTTCTAGAGAATTTAAACTCTCCTCTTTTCCAGAAGAAGGCTTATCAGCACCATCAGAGGAAACATTTGGCTGCTGATTTTTAGAGAGACGGTCTCTTAATTCTATGAGGGTCTTGTCATTATTAACTGTACCTTCTGCTGAAGAGAAATTCTCTTTTTGTTGTTTCCTTTCAACATCATCAGATGATCCTTCTTTCTGCCCTTGATTATCTATTCCTTTTTTGTTGTGTTTTTCATCTTCAGAAGAATCATCTCTTTTATTTGGAACTCTTTTTTTAGTTGTTTTAGCAGCCCCAATTTTACTCATACTCTTTATCTCTTTTTCTAATTCCGAGTCATAATTAGAAGATTCAGACAGGTTTTGTCGTTTCTTTTTAGAAATCATAGTATTTTTAGTTGATTTGCCTTTTTTAATATCAAAATCTGACCCAGAAGTAGAACTTTTCCGTTTCCTTTTTCCTTTATCATCTTTCCCCCTTTGAGTCTTGTGATTTGTATGTACTTCATTAATATCAGTATCGGAAGAAGAACTGTGACTCATCCTGCTTACTTCTTTGAGGACTGTTAGCATTTCATCAGAATCTGAATTTGGATCTACCAACTCTGACTGCTTAGATTTAGGCAATTTAGTAGGTTTTGGATTATCCACAGCACTGTCAGAAGAATTTCTCTTATCCTTTTTTCTCATTGGAACTAATAATTTTTGCTTCTCCTTAACTGTTTCATGACTCTCTTCATCTGAATTAGATGTTGCAGGGTTGGTTTCTGTCTGTCGCCTCAAAGGTGTAGTCTTCACACGTGGGGATCTTCGAAGATCAGAATCTTCTAAAGGTAATGAAAGCTCATTTTCAAGCAAAGGCTCATTATCACTGCTTTCCTGTCCAGGTCCACGTTTCTCTGACTTGGGATTTAGACTAGAACTTTTATAGTCATCTTTGTCGTGTGGAACGTCGTGATAATCAGCACCTTTAACTGGGGAATTAGAAAGGGAAACAGGTGTCAGTTTCACATACAATTCTTTCGTTACTTTAGCTGTAGTTTTTGATTTAATACCTCTTCTGTTGTCTTTTGAAGGGATATTCGATTTTACAGGCGAATGCTCCAGTTCTTGCTCAGTTCCACTGTTGCCATCTCCTTGATAATCAACTGTACAATGAACTTCCATAGCATTCTCAAGATTCTCAAAAATGTCTTCTGGAACTGAAGAAGGAACAGACACAATATCCATATCTAAGTCTTCAGCAGTGTTAGTGGGTTCATATTGAGGTTCTTCTTTTCTATCAGACTTCTTATGTTCACCACTAATGCTTTTGTTTGCTCTTTGTTCCTCTGTTGCAACATTGTGATCCATGTGCTCACTATCTATGTGTTTTCTTGACAGTTTAGTGTCTGATTTGGAAATGTCTTTCCTTTCCAAAGCACAGGGTTTCTCTCCTTTTCGTACTTTTGTTTCAGACTTAGTATCTATGACCTTGTGCTCTTTGGTATGTTTCTCTCTGTTGATACTGTCCAAAGCTTGAATCTCTGAATTCAACTCTTCTTCTAATGCAAGATGAGCCTTCTTGATATCAGCCAACACAGATTTAAAAGCCTTAAGTTGCCGTAACTTTGTAGCTGCATTGATTTCAGAAATATCTGTTGCATGCTTCAAAAATTTAACATAACTAGAGTTCATGTTGGCTGTGGTCTCAATTAGCTTTTTTGTTTTCTTAATCAACTCTTTGGGCACAGTTAGTGCTGAATAAGAATAGGTTACAGAACCAGAACATGAGTCATCTAATTTCTTTTCTTCTCCATTACAATTTGCACTATTTTTCTTTGGAGAAAATCTAGATGTATGGTCATATACTTTATTACTCTTTTCATTATCAACTTTTATCTTCTTCTTATTTTGTTGCAGTAACTGTTCTAAATTCTCAAATACACTGTTACATGCAGTGACCAAGTCCAACAAAGGCTCTGGGTGACAAATGTAGCAATACCACTGGTTGTTTTCATCCATTATTGTAGAGAGCTCTTTTCGACCAAGGTTGCGCAGAATACATTTCTTGCAAAAGGCATTATGGCAAAAGTCACAACAAATCAAGTTTCCACCTTCTGCACACCATCTGAAAGGTTTTAAAATATTATTAAAATAGTTGAAATAGTAAATAATTGAAATATAATTCCCAATGAAATTCATTTTGATTTCTTCATTATTAAAGCAATTTACATTTTCCTGCCAGCAACTTTAGTAGTATTTTAGGTTAACTGCTTATTATTTATAAGAAAACTAGACATAAACCTAAGGCTTTTTGGAAAAGGACAACTTTCCATTAAAGACATCTATGACGACACTACAAAAGATGAAGGTAATAAAAAGGCCTGGTAGTATTTCTGCCCAGACGAAGACAGTATTGAATATATACCTACCTACATTGTTCATCCATTCCATCTGAGTCACGGCTAATATCATCACTCATGTAATACTTAAAGCAATTCTATTAAAAGAGGAAGGGGAAACTTTACTCAAAATTCTTAAAATTCATAAAAGACAAAAATGTTATTTATTTAAAGTCATCAAAAATGTAAAAGTTTATGTATATGTGTGTGTGTGTGTGTGTGTGTGTGTGTCTGTGCACCCAAACGAGTGTTTTATAAAGGAGCAAATTGAAACATGTAAATATCCAATAACAGTATCCTCCAGGCAGGAACACATTAAGAAATTAAACATTTGAAGCAGATTTTCATATCAAGCACCCTTATGCCTTATATAAAAGTTTATGAAAGGGGCCAGCATCATGGCATAGAGGTTAAGTCACCACCTGTGATGCCTGCACCCCAAAGGGGAGAGCCCGTTTGAGTCCCTTGCTGCTCTGCTTCCAATCCAGCTTCCTGCTAACATACCTTGGAAGGCATGGGACAATGGCCCAAGTGGTTGGGCCCCAGCCACACATGTAGGAAACCTCCTGGGTTTGGTCTACCCCAAATCTGGCTATTGTGGCCATTTTGGGAGTGAACCAGAGAATGGATGATCTCTCTTTCTCTGTGTGTTGCTGTGCCTTTCAAATAAATAAATATCAAAACTGATGCAAGAAAGATCTAGAGCAAGAACTCCAAGGAAAACAGGACCTGCCCCTGCATTTCAAAAGCAGGGTTTTTTTTAATTAGAAAATATAGGAATAAATGTAACAGTATTATGACACACAACCTTAATACTATATAACTTCAAGGTATTACTAGTGAAAAGTATACACAGACTATTGAAACTATAATCATCACATGTAAAGCATTTTTAATTCTACTGTCTCCGAGTTATGTCAAAACCATGCTACCTGTGGAGAGCTTAGATTTGGAGAAGCAGGGAAAGCTATAAAACACACAAATGCAAGCAAACACAGTCTGCAGGTTTTCAAACACAGCTAGTTCTCCCTCACTTAGCAGTCTTTGAATACCATGTTGCCTCTGACTAAAACATGCTGAACTAATTCCACTTCAACAGGCTAATTTTTATTCATCTTTCAGATATCAGCTTATTATCCCTTACATTAGAAAGCCACATGACCTGAGTCCTTTATGCCCCCCCATTACAATGTAAGCCCTCAAATGGCAGAGACTTCATCAACAAATCATTACATACCTTACAAATAAGGACTTGCAGTGAAGGGTGTCTATAAATGGAATCTTTCTGAAAATGATTGACCTGTTGTCCACAAGCTGTGCAGCTTACAATCCCATGAAGCCCATCTTCTAGGAGAAAGGAGTGACAATTATTCACACATTTACACATACATAAAGATATTTAGTCAGCACTTTGAAATGTTTGTATTAGAAATGAGATACTTCATAATCCTTAGGAAATGCATTTTGGACCAAAGTTTTCAAAAAGTTAACTTTACTGGCTTAGTAAAAGCATAATAACCTTGGCAATCTCCAAGCTACAAATCCTAATTTGTTTGGTTTTACAGAATGCAAGTCCCATTTCTCAGAACAATTTGATATAACATAAAGAGTCTCCATAAAGAAGTTCTAAAAATTAGGGAGCAAGAGCTCTTATGAATTTTGCTATTGCTTTGTAAATAAATTCCGTATTGAGTCTTAAAGAATGGGGAACAAAGTCACATATATGGAAAACATTCTTCTGCAACCATAAGGCATGCCATAAAGGTTTTTCTTCTCAAAGTAATTGTCTGCACAAATTCTAGCACATAGTATGTGAAAACTTGGTATTTCTGTAATATTCAATTTCCCTGCTAAAATTTACTTCAGTACTAACCATGAGTCCCCATTAACCTGCCTTCTATGTCTACTCCATATCAATACTGACTACCATTTATAAATAAAACAATGTAGGCCTATCTGTCTTAGCAGCAGAACATCAGTAAAGATGGGGAGAAAGGCAGAGCTCCGTTCCAAACTACCTACAGAAAAACATATTGAAGACACCTACTCAGGGAAAAAGAAAGTGAAAATCTTTCCTGCTTCACTATTGTTCTTAGTTCTGCTAAGGCAGTGCTTCAGAATCTGAGGTTAACATTAGAATCACCTGAAGAACCATAGTTAATGAGGCTGACATTGTGGCACAGCAGGTTAGGCAACTGCTTGCAATGTCAGCATCCCCACATGGGAGCACTGGTTCAATTCCCAGCTGCTCCACTTTTGGTTCTGCTACCTGCTAATATGCCTGAGAAGGCAATGCAGCAGATGATGGTCCAAGTACTTGGGGCCCTGCCACTCACATGGGAGACCTGGATGGAGTTCCAGGCTCCTGGCTTCACCTGGCCCAGCCCCAGCAGTGTGGCCACTTGGAAAAAGACATTCTCTCTCCTGCTTGCTCACTTGTGCATTAAAAATAAATAAATCTTTTTCTTAAAAAAAGACACAGATAGCCATTCCTACCTGTAAGCCACTAAAGTACAAACTTAGACATTGTTTAAATTAAGATTTATTTACTTATTTATTTGAAAGGCAAAATTATAGAGAAAGAGGGAGAGAGAGAGGTGGAGGGAAGGAGGGGGAAGAGGGTAAGAGAAAGAATATGATTCCATCTGCTGGTTCACTTCCCAAATGGCCACAATGGTCAGGGATTAGTCAGCCAGAAGCTAAAAGCTAGGAACTCCATCAAGGACTCCCACGAGGGTGATGAGAGCCAAAGCATTTGGGCCACCTTCCGCTGCTTTCCCAGGTGCATTAGCAGGAAGCTGGATGGGAAGTGGAGCAGCTGGGACTCGAACCAGTGCTGATATGGGGCGCTGGCACTGATTGTTGCAGCTTAATCTCCTGCGCGGCAACACCAGCCCCTCTTAGACTTAAGTTTTACAAATGATCTTAATGTGCAACAAAGATCTTGAAACAGTATATTGTGATTCAAAATATGCTGGTGAAAATGCCTGCATTCACTAAAGGAGAAAACCAAAAAAAAAAACACCTGTCTCTTTGTCTCTATTCCTAAATAAAAGCCAAAAAAATACATCTCTCATTTTTTAATTTTGTTTTGTACTGTTAGTTTTTAGGGCCCAAGTGCCATGGGCCCAAACATTATTGCCATTATTTACCTGTAGTAGCTAAAAACATTTCATATATAAGGACATCATCATACAATTTTAGGAGATAAAAGACAACTTAAAGATTTACTACATATGCTGCTAATATTTTAAATCACATTGTCCAATGTTTTTATTTGATCTTGACTATTTATATATTGTTATTCTAAAAGAAACAAATATAAAATGCACTTTTTCATTTCAAAGAATGATATCATTCAGATAATAAAAGCTATTGTCTGAATGCTTATCCAGTGTTAATATTAAGCAAGCATCTGTTATGTGATCATGAGTGTACATCACTAAAGAACTCTTAAAACCTAGGAGATCCTTTAGAGAATTTCTCCCACATGTGTAAAAGGAATCCTATGTGAGGATATTCATTGCAGCACTAACTAGAAAATTAAAAAATAAAAAGCTGGAAACAACTTCATATTGTGGAATGGATACACAGTGGTTTATTCATACTACAGGGGAATCCTAAACAGCAGTGAAAAATAGACAAAGTACATGTACATTTACTGAAATGGATTCTTTTCAAAAACAATGTTGAATGAGAAAGATTCCCAAAGGATATATACAGTATATTACTGTACATTTTTAAATGAAAATGCTTTATGAACACATACATATACAGAAAACATAGAAAAACATGCATACACATGCACATGCATAAAACTGTAAGATCATCATTACCTGGTGGGGTGGGAAGAAGGGGAAATGGATGAAAGTAGGACTGAATCAATATTTTATTTAAGTGAGATCTGAAGCAAATATGGTAAAATGTTGAAATGTTACTTTACTTTATGTACTAATTTCGGTGCACGTATGTTTAAAACTTATTTTAGTTATGAAATATCTTAAAGATTATAACAGTGTGTAAATGGCAGAGGCATTTCAGTTCTGAGTTCAATATATTTTAATGGTTTTACAGAGAGAACAAAATTATTGTCCCAGGAAGAAAAGTTAAGTGTAAAATATGTTTTCTAACAAACTAGGGAAAGTATGTCAAAACGGGCTACCATATTTAAAGGAATGTAGCTGATGAAACTGTCACTTTAGCTAAGTCTTTGTGCTATAATTTTGTTCCAACATTATTTGATATAAAGTTTACATTCTGGAAACTTTCCTAAATTAGGTTTCAACTTTGGAACTAATTTCCTAAAATGTTTGAATATTAATTACAAGAAGTCAATATCTCAGATCACTAGTTTATTATACTTATGTATATGAGGTATGATTTCTAATAGCTTAAAAATGTTGTAAATCATTAACTCAAAAGTAAATATAAAAGATTTAAGCGCTACTGTATGGCTATAAACATACATATAAATTACCTTAAGCATGATGATATGAACATTTCTCACACTTAATAATGTTCCAGAGACCTATCAGCTGACAGTAAATACTAGCAGCATACCAAAGTGGCTCTAGAAACACACTCTCCAACAATAGTGTTGTTCTTTAATTCTCCTTCCAGCCCCTATCTACATTTTGGACACTGACTACTCCAGAGTCCCTTTCCAAAAGACACCATTTAGACATTAATCGTGACACAATGCAGTCATGCAGTTTTCCGTCTTAGCTAGAGGATTCCTGATCAGAGAGAAAAAACCTTGCTGCTGTTTCCTATCATCACTTTCTACTTAAATTTTAAAAATACCACCTTGCTTCTAGTGAGCTCTGTTGTCATGACTGTTTCCCCATTATGAAGGAATCTCAAAAAATCTTCCAAATTGTCAAAGGGTTTGAACACCCATTTTGGACAAAAAGACTAAGCAACATTTCCTTGATTTTTACTACATATATCATAAATTATTTATCTGAAAACCAGTATCTAATACTTTATTAAGTAGAGACCTATTTTACTAGTTCCATCAAGATAATCATAGCTTTGAAATAAAAATATACACAAAATGTCACCAAAATAAGAACTTCACAGTTATATAACAGGATCAATATTAAATGGACATGCCTTTATTATACTTTTTTAGAAATTTAGTGTTAGGTTCTGCATTTTGGAGATTCACTCCTTTTATAATTATAGATTCTGGCATTTTTAGTCTGCCCAAAGACAATATATAGGCATTATTTTTAAACTTCTAAATGAATCCTCCTGATGTGAACTCTCTATAGACAGCCAAAATCATTGTGTATTGAAGTGTGAGTAGACAGACAGAGAGGTGGCTCAGGCAGATGGAGGGAGTTCCCTTCTTCCTACTTTCCGCTGCTTTGCTATCCTTAGATCAATGGACCCGAAACTTCGGTGCATATAAGAACAAATCCGGGCACAATCTTGACCTCCTCCCCAGAAATTCTAATTTGTAAGGAGCAGGGCCAAGGGACTTGCATTTTTAATAAGTACCCCAGATGTTCATAATTTTATATAACAATGTTCTGAATATGCATAAAGTTACCTTGAGGTCACACACAAGAGTTTGCACAAATCTGAAATTCTTTCCAGATGAGGGAAAACACATGGTATTCTGGCACACAGATCTAACATGTGAAAAAGAAATGCTGGGGCTGGTGCTGTAGTGCAGAGGGTAAAGCCACCACCTGTGGTGCCAGCATCCCATATAGCTGCTGGTCCAAGCCCTGGCTGCTCCACTTCCAATCCAGCTCCCTGCGAATATGCCTGAGAAAGCAGCGGAAAATGGCCCAAATATTGGGCCCCTGCGCCCACATGGGAGACCCGGAAGAAGCTCTTGCCTCCTGGCTTAGGATGGGCCCAGCTCTGGCCATTGTAGCTATTTGGGGAGTGAACCAGTAGATGGAAGATCTTGCTTGTTTCTCTCTCTCTCTTTCTCTCTCTCTCTCTCTCTCTCTCTAACTCTGCCTTTCACATAAATAAGTAAATCTTTAAAAAAAAAAAAAAAAGGAAATGCTAAGCTTCTTGAGATAACAGCCACTGAAGGCAAAGGTGTTTTGAGAAGTAATGCTTAACCTTTTCTGCTTCAGAGGTCAGAGAGAAACAGAAGTTACTTTTAAGTAGTGCTTTTAAATAAACAATGGGCAGAAAAGTGGAGGTATTTTTAGTAAGCATATCAGATTTTCCAATATGGTGATAAACAGCAATTTAAACGCATGTTTCATTTTCACTTGTATTTACCTCCGCGTTTTTTGAGATTTTCAGTTTTCATTTTACTTCTGCTTCTAAATTCAGGCCCTTTAAAATCATCTTTGTCTTCATTCAGCACTGGCTCTGGTTGTACAATCACTGTACCTAGAATGATTTCATTTAAAAAACCATTACACATATTAAATGTGCAAATGAAGTACAAGACTTCCGTTCAGATAAAGCCAACATTGCTTGTACATAATCCGTATCTTTCAAGCTTTCAATACTTGTTTAAGGATCTCACAAGCGTAAATAAAACAAGATAATAATAAAAGGGCCACATGTCAACAGATTACTTCTTGGAATACAGTTCATAAAAACAGGAAGAAAAAGTATTATGAACTGATTTTAACAGGAATCTGTAAATCAAATAGAAAGTCTCAGCCCAGTTCTGAATTCTTATCATGCCTATCAAAAAACCTGTTATGAATATGAATACCCATGCTAATTCCATAAAGAGTATTTAAAATAAGTGGTCAGAGGAAAAAGTATTTCTAAAAGACATCATATTCTTCTCATAATCCAAATCAGAAACTCAGAAAAAGATTTCTAAGGGTTGTTTTATACTGCTTGGAGGGAGTAGTAGAGAGGACAATGAAGTTCATTCTAGTACTGCTATACCTATTATGCAGCATGTCCCAACTAGTGTCTCAAAGCTTTACTACTCTACAAAGTTCTTAAAGAGTCTTAAACTACACATAATTTTAAAATACGTAAGCTGAAGTGCTCTAACAATAAATCATATAATAAAAGTATTTGTTGGAACCTATGGAAATAAAAACAACAACCTTTCTTAATTGTGAACATGTGAAATGAGGACAAAGATTGTCAATTTAAGTTTTCATTATGGTCTCTCAAGAACAAATACAGTAAGCATAATAAAAAGGGTCTGGGTCTCAATATTTATCTACACTGCTAGCTTAGTAAATGCACATTATTGGCAACAATTAAGAAAGTACTTGTCAGGGGTTCTCTGAAATATGTGCCTATGTTATTCAACAAGCAAGTTACAGCGTCAACTTAGTAAATGAATTTTTGAATCTCTGAACAAGAGAGAGAGGAAAGAGGGCACAGAGGATTGAGATTTTTATAGACTGTGGTAAATTTAATCCCCACAACAAAAAGTGCTCTTCACAACAAGCATTTCACATATATACTCTCACTCAGAGAAACCACAGCACATCACAGAAGCTAGAAATTTTGATTCTTCTGTAAATGGAAGCAAAGCAGCAGAGTGGAAAGAACACTCACTAGCTTTGGATACAGGCAAATCAGGAGATAGTTTAATTTAAAGTTGAAATATTACTTGAGCTCTGAATTTGTTAATCTCTACAAGTAGAAACAATAATTACCTTACAGCACTGTTTTGAAGATTACAGAGGTTAAATTCTGTAAGAGTTTTTCATCTATTAATACTCAACAGAGTATTACAACAATACCTGTAATAATAACCATCAGAATTTCACCTCATGAAATGAGGCTAATTTTTGTTTTGGTGTGAGAACGCAGCTTAGTTCCAGTTAGTAACATCATACTTGGTCTGACTTTCTTCCACAGTACCTTGAAAACAAAGGTTCCAATTGCTAGCTCTCAGAAGTAATCCCAGTGACAAACACCAAGAATGTAAAAATCTAATGTGAGTTACTTCCAGTGAGACTCAGACTCTCATGCTCTTTCTGCCCTTGGTCATGAAAACCATTACATAAAATTATCGCACATGATTTGTAAAGCCAAGTAAATGGTAGCCCAACAATTTTTTTCTCTCTTCTTTTAATCAACACCTTTCTTCATGTGTTTTCGCATTTCATTTTATAAATTTTAATTTACATTAGCTAAGCAAAGTACCACCCCTCTACCCACCATACATTTTAAAACTTCCACAATTTAAAACTATGACATTAAAACACAGACAAGGAAAAAAGTTTCTTAAACACCATTGTAAAAGGTGTGACCATGAGAATAACCTGAAAAAAATCTGCTGCTAAGCCACTAGGAACATACTGTTTAACAAAGAAAAAAATTCAAAATTTTGACTCTGAAACACTGAAAAATTACTAAAGTCCTTTGTCATCCTCACATCATCTAATAACATTGCTTTCATACTTGAACCACAAAGAGTTCAATATCCTTATTTGGTTTTTACCTCTCATTTAATTAAAAAGGTTTTACAGTCAGAACTTTTGAGAGGCACCTGACAAGCATTTTTAAGGACATAATAATAAAAAAATATACCTAAATCTATCTTTGATAATGAGCTTTGACTTTTACCCTTAGGAAAGTTAAGAATGCATTAAGACTAAGCTAGACTGTAAAAACTTTCTAACAAAATTTCAAGGGGCAGACATTGTTATATAGTGGGTTAAACAGCCTTTTGGAATACCCACATCCCATATCAGAGTGCCAGATGGAGTCCTGGTTGCTCAACTTCTGATCCAGCTTCCTGCTATTGTGAACTGGAAAGGAGCAGATGACAGCTCAAGAGCTTAGGTCCTTGCCACCCACACGGGAGACCCAGATGGTGCTCCATACTCCTGTTTTGGCCTGGCCCAGACCTGACTGTTGAGGGCATTTGGAGAATGAATGAGCAGATGAAATTTGTGTGTGTGTGTGTGTGCACGCGCGTCTGTACGTGCATATCTTTCTCTCTCTCTCTTTCTCTCTCTCTCTGCCTTTCAAGTAGATGAACATAAACACTGAAAAATTTTCTGAAGTAATCGTTACATTTTTGTATAAAGGAAACACATTAACATTACTGAACCAAAACCCAATATATTAAACTGCTTACTATTTCCACATCCAAGTATAATTTGTAAACAAAACCTCTTCTCTAAAATCCAATGGAGAAAAAATAGATTTTATTTTTTCAAAGGTAAGGAATATTCCAGAATCTAAAGCTGAATAACATTATTATCATAAAACAGTACTTCAAAAAGTTCACAGAAATGAAATTAAAAGATGTGTTACTACAAAGAATTTTGAAGTCTATGGATTTTTTTCATGATACACATTTGCCATGAACTTTTTAAGACCCCAAGTATACTTCCAGACCACCATCAGTACAATGCCAAATTTGGTCCTTTATACACAGTGAATGGTAATCAAGTTCCAATTTTACAGTAATATTTAAAAATACATTCCAACTTCAACTCCATATGAAAAATTGATACACATTACCTTTGGGCAAACTTTGCATAGTAATATCATTTTCTGAATTTTCATTAGAAGCATCTTCATTTACAGTTTCATCCAAAGGTTTTTCATCATCAGATTCTACATACTTTGTTACAATTGAAGGTTTCCTATGAAAGAATTAAGTCCACAAAATTATGGACATTTCTGACAATTGGAACACCCATAGAACATAAAAAACATGTTTGGATTGAGTAGTGGCTATCAACCAGGGATGCACATTAAATCACCTGGGGAAGTATACATCTCTGTATTATATTACTGAAGATTATCATTCAGCAGGCCTGGGGTAGGACCAGAGCATAGACATTCTAAAAAACCTACCAAGGGGTTCTTAAAGGGCATTCCTCTCTAAGACTCACTACTTTAGAGAATAAATTATTATAAGCAAGCTCTATTTATTAAGGGACATTCTCACTGGTGACAAACAACAAAAGTCCAATAGCCTGCAAACTTCTAATAAGAACATACTCCCTCCAAAAGTTTTGTTGGTTATTATAATATACTTAGAAATAGTTTGTCCTCATGTATAATTTGTTTGACAAGTTAGCACAAAACTGCATATTTTCCTTTCTTTGATCTTCATATAGTTCACTTACAATCTGCTACTCTCATCCCTAGACAGTTTCATATAGCCCTAAAAACCTATATATTGCCTGATGAGACAGTCAACATTTCTCCCTTTTCCCTTCTTTTTAAGGAAAGGGGCCACATAGCATATCAAATATTTTAGAAAGAACTAGAAGAACTTGAAGGTATCAAATACAAAGAAATGATCAGGAGTTAGAAATGCTAATTATCATTATTTGATCAGTATACACTGTATAAATTTCTTATATCATAATGTTTTCCATAAATATATAATTATTACACATTCATCAAAAATGTATAAAGCCTTGTGGAATCCAAGAAAAATTTAAAATGAGCTACTTATTACAAGAGCCAAAATGCTTAACAAATCCTTCTCCAAAACTGTTAAAATTCAAAATTGGAATAAATTAATAATTAAAAACAGGTAACAGATACAAAAGACTTACCAAAGTATAGTACTCATTTTAAAATGCATGCCTTTGAATAGTTTACTTAGAACAATGGTGCTTGAAGTAAGTTCACACAAAAGATTTATCTTTTAACAAAGCAAAAAATAAAGCAATCCGAAAAAGACAATTTTCTCTTAAGTATCAACCAACCTCTTTGATCGTGACAATCCTGAAGATCTGGATTTTTCTGAAGAGCTAGTTCCCTAAACATGAGAAACAAATATGAAAGTGAGCAAAACTCTCAGAGCAAAATCCCTGTAGTTAACTATTATGCTATAATATTATCTTTTACATAGTGATGATATAATACTTATATGCCTTAAATATTTTTCTAAAAGAAAATTTAAAAACCATCAATTACTGTTAAGTTTCTCTGACTAAAGATTACATTTCTGTTTTAAAATTTTTGTTGTTACATGCTAAAGTGGTAAGAGATGATATGCTGCTATACCATGCACATAGCCCCAGTCAACAAGGACAAAACAAAGGTGTAAAAAGTAGTAAGAGGGGCCAGCGCTGTGGCGTAGAGGGTTGGGCCACCACCTACAGTGCCGCCATGCCATATTGGTGCCGGTTCCTGTCCCAGCTGCTCCACTTCCAATCCAGCTCTCTGCTATTGCCTGGGAAAGCAGTAGAAGGTGGCCCAAGTCCATGGGCCCCTGCACCCACGTGGGAGACCTGGAGGAAGATCCTGGCTCCTGGCTTCGAATCGGCACAGCTTCAAACGTTGCGGCCACTCGGAGTGAACCAGCAAACGGAAGACCGCTCTCTCTCTCTCTCTCTTTCTTTCTCTGCCTCTCCTTCTATCTCTGTTTAACTCTGACTTTCAAATAAATAAATAAGTCTTTTTTAAAAAAAGTAATCAGATTCAAATAGAGGTAGGGAGTTTTTAGGATGTGAAAATGTGTCACTCTTCTCATAGAGTAACTTCTACAGCTTGCTTTGAAATACTAAATTTACTTAATTCTGACAGTATAATCAATATACTCACATTGGATTCAATTTTTTGTACAACGTAGAAAGAATTCTAAAATCATAGCATAGGCCTGTGCATCAGGTAAAGGACCCCAGTATGAATTGATATAATCATGCCTAGGAGACTCTTTAACAGAAAATTTTGGGAGATCTCCCACGCAATCAAGCCTACAACATCTATCTCAAACACCACTGCTGCAATATAGTAATGAATAAATACCTTTCTATTAGAAAGTCTTTGGTAATCTGATTTTAGGTAAACTGAAATGAACCACAGCAATAATGCACACCTTCTTAAGATGAACTACCAGTAAACTGAAGTGACATCACGAAATTTTGGTATAAAAGTAACTTTAAACACATGCATATATTAACCAGAGGCAATTTAATGACATATATTGCAGTTCGTTATTAGAAATAAATAAATATATCTAAAATCTTCCAATTATTCTTACCTCTTCCCTGCTGTTTTCAATCATATCAGAGTTATTTCCAGAACCACTGGTTTTATCTAAAAAAGAAATGAAAGAATATTATGTATCTCTTCAATGCATTATCAAACAGAAGACTAATACCTACACCTCCAAGAACTCATTTTCAAGTTATTAATGGTGACAGTACTGGCCATTACTGGCCATGTACTCACATTAAAATATGCCTAAGAGGAATATTCTGACTAGAATCACTCTTATTTGACACAGTAATTTCTAAAAAGAGTATTTTGGTATCAAAACATTTTCTCATGTAATTTTCTAAGATATTTCACATAAAAAATTTAGGTTACAGTTTATATAAAAAAATTAAAACCACTAAATTCTATTTCATCTCATCATAAAATACTGGGAAAATAAGAGCAAATCAAACCTAAAGCAAGCGAAAAGGGAGAAAATCAACGGCTCACAGAATCTCACTTATATGTGGAATCTAAAACATATATGGAGTCTAAAAAACAGTAATCTACAGAATTTGCAAGTATAATAGTGGTTGCCAGAGGTTGATGGGGAAAGGCTGATTAAGAGATACTAAGTTATTCCAAGATAACAATAAGAAGTTCTTGGGATCTACTGCACAGTAAGGTGATTATAATTAATTCTAATGTACTATATATTTTTCTCTATTTTCAAAAACTGGAAGATAGGATTTTGAATATTACCACAAAGAAGTGTTAAATGAACAATTTATTTACTCTGTACACAACTGAAACATCACACACTACCCCATAAATATGTACAATTTTATAATCAAAAAATGCTGTACTTAAAAAGCAAAATTAGGGGCTGGAATTGTGGTGCAGCAAGTTAAAGCCTCAGGCTGCAGAGACAGCATCCCACACAGGTGTAGGTTCAAGTCCCAGCTGTTCCTCTTCCAATCCAGCTCCCAGCTAATGTGCCTGGGAAAGCAGTAGAGAATGGCCCAAGTGGTTGGGCCCCTGCACCCACGTGGGAAACTGGAAAGAAGCTCCTGGTTCCTAACTTCGGATCAGATCAGCTCCAGCCGCTTCAGCCTTTTGGGAAGTGAACCAGCAGATGGAAGACCTCTCTCGCTGTCTCTACCTCTCTGTATAACTCTTTCAAATAAATAAAATAAATCTTTAAAATAAAATAAAATTGGCATCATACTAAAAAAATAAGGCAGATATTAATAAACCAGTGAATGAAACTTGTTTCCTATCTCTTTCTTTCTGCCTTTCAAATAAATAAATGAGTAAAATATTTTAAATAGGAAAAAGAGAAGACTAGAATGAAGTAAGTATGCGGCATCAATTTAGAAGATTCAACATCAACTCATGAAAATGTAACATTTATTTTATTTGAATGGCAGAGTTACAGAGGAAGAGAGAGAGAGAGAGAGAGAGATATCAGTCTTCAATTTGCTAGTTCACTCCCCAAATGGCCACAATGTTTGGAGCTGGGCCAATCTAAAACCAGGAACCTGGGGGTTTTTCTGGGTCTCTCACATGGGTGCAGGGGCCCAAGGACTTGGGCCACCTTCACTGCTTTCCCAGGCCACAGCAAAGAGCTGGATCGGAAGAGTAGCAGCCACGACTCGCGGAGAGGGAGAGGGGTGGAGGAGAGAGAGAAGGAGAGAGAGAAGGGGAGAGAGAGAGAGAGACAGAGAGAGAAATAGAGAGAGAGAAAGAAAGAGAAAGAGAAAGAGGAAGAGGAAGAGGAAAAGGAAGGAGGAGAAAAAAAGAGAGATCTTCCATTTGTTAGTTCATAACCCAGATAGCTGCAGCAGAGACAGGGCTGGCCCAGGCAGAAGCCAGAAGCCAGAAGCCAGGAAATTCATCTGGGTCTCCCATGTGGGTGGCAGGGACCCAAACACTTGAACCATCCACCCACTGCTTTTTCCAGGCCATTAGCAGGGAGCTGGATCAGAAATAGAGGCACAAATGGGTGCCTATATGGGATGCCAGCGCCCCAGGCAGTGGCTTTAATCACTATGTCACAATGCTAGTCTCATATCCCTCATTTTAAAAGGATATTTTCAGGGCCGATACTGTGGCTCAGTAGGTTAATCTTCTGTCGGGGAGGAGGGGGCCAGCATCCCACATAGGCGTTGATTCTAGTCCTGGCTGCTCCTCTTCCAATCCAACTCTCTGCTGTGGCCTGGGAGAGCAGTAGAAGATGGCCAAAGTCGTTGGGCCCCTGAACCAACGTGGGAGACCTGGAGGAAGCTCCTGGCTCCTGGCTCCTGGCTTCGGATTGATCCAGCTCTGGCCGTTGTAGCCATTTCGGAAGTGAACCAACAGATGAAAGACCTTTCTCTCTGTCTCTCCCTCTCACTGTAACTCTATCTTCCAAGTAAATAAATAAAATCTTAAAGTATATTTTCACTGAATAGAGAGTTCTGAGCTGGCAATTATTTTCATATGGCACTTTAAAGAAAGCATTTCACTGCTATCTGCCTTCTATCATTTACGTCATGTAAGCTGTTAGAGTTACTGTTGCTCTTTTGGAAGTAGTATCTCTTTACTCTGGCTACTTAGAAAATTTTCTCCTTTTTGGAGTTTGATTGTGATGTGCCTATAGTTTTTTTGGTGTTGTTTAATCTCTCTGGGGCTCCCAAATATTGAATCTGGAATCTAATATCATTCATCACTTTAAGAAAATGCTTAGATAATCTCTCTACAAATCTGACCACTGATCTATTCTTTCTCTTCTCTCCTGGAACTCCAATTACACACATGTCTGAGTTTTACAATGTGATCTATCTTACACTTTTGTGTATATATCATGAGAGTGTGTGTGTGTGTGTGTGTTCAGGTCCATATATGTAGCTACCCCTGAAAATAACAACCAACACATGATACAGTATTTTTTTTGACAGGCAGAGTGGATAGTGAGAGAGAGAGACAGAGAGAAAGGTCTTCCTTTTGCCGTTGGTTCACCCTCCAATGGCCGCCACGGCTGGCGCACTGCAGCCCGCGCACCGCGCTGATCCGAAGCCAGGAGTCAGGTGCTTCTCCTGGTCTCCCATGGGGTGCAGGGCCCAAGCACTTGGGCCATCCTCCACTGCCTTCCCGGGCCACAGCAGAGAGCTGGCCTGGAAAAGGGGCAACCGGGACAGAATCCGGCGCCCCGACCGGGACTAGCGGTGCCGGCACACCGGGTTCTAGGTGGAGGATTAGCCTATTGAGCCACGGTGCCGGCCGATACAAGATATTTTTAAAAAGTAGAGAGGGGGACAGGAATTTTGCCTAGTGGTTAAGATACCAGTTAAGGTTCATGAACCTGACACCAGATGTCATAGTGACTGGGATCAATACCCAGCTCCACCTCCTGGAGCCAGCTTACTGCTAATTCAGACCCTGAAAGGCAGCAGAGATAACTCAAGTAACTGAGTTCCTGCTATGCACGTGAGAGATCTGGATTGCTTTACTAGCCCCCATCTTCAGCCCCAACCCTGGAGCTGTTACAGGCATTTGGGGTATGGTCCAAAATATAGGAATTCTATGTATTTTCCTCCCTCCCCCTCTTGCCTCTCAAATGAACACACACATTTTTTACGACAGAGAGAAGGACAGAAAGGAGGTCTTAAGTGGCTATATAAAAACATGCACCAAATGTACTCACAGATATTTTCAAACAACATAAAAATGTAACAATACATAAGTAACTGGTAAGATAAAATATGTCTGTACTACTCCCACCTCTGCTAATACCACCAGTTTTTCAGTCAACTTTCATCACCATGTCTAAAAGACATTTCTATTATGTATAAAACCATAATAAATGCTTCCTGAAGTCCAGACAACCACACACTTATATTTTGACTTACCAAAATTAGAATCTTCTAGAATATGAGATTCTAAGTAAGATATATAATAGGGGTTTCTTTACTCACTAATCTAATTTTCCACAAACTGAAATCCTTTAATACCTGCTCTCCACCCACCCCACAAAAATAAAGAAAAAAAGGACTAGAAGTTTTTCAATTTACCTATGCTTTGGTGCATTGTAGGTCGTGGAGGAGAGCTTGTTTCTTCAGATTCTTCAGATGACTGTGCCAGGAAGTCATGAAGCTTCTGCACCAATGTATTCAACTTGCTTTCACTATCAAAAGAAATATTTAAAGAATTTTCTTAGTCTGCCACTTATTTCATTAAATATAAAGCTCTGACCAACTGAAAATCAATCATTACTCTAAGTCTTCTGAATGTATCCATATTCAAAGTAAAAATTTAAAGAATCAATTATTTCAGAGGATATAACCAACCTATACACTTACCTAACATCAAAATATCATTTAAGAGAAAAGCTAGCATAATATTTCCAAGATATTGAGCATTCTCAATGTGCTATATCTGATATAGATAATATCAGATATTATAAAATTAAATAGAAGTTAAACTTTACTATTAAGCTATTTAAAATGTGCCACAAAATCCTAGCCTTAATCTACTCTGTAAGATAGTTACCTACCATAAATCAGTTTCAAAAGGACTAAAAAGTTTGGGGGTTAAAAGGCAAAAAAAATTCATATTTGCATTATTCCTATATTAATATCACAATCACTAATTGATCCTTATATACATCTTCACAGATCATCAACTACTTTATGCTTTTGTTGTCTCACTTGTATACTCATATAGCCTATATTTGAAAAAGCCTTAGAAATCAAAACATATGTAAAGCAGCTTTTCAAGAAACATTTACAGACAGGTATTATAGTACAGCAGGTTAAGCCCCTACATGGAACTCCTGCATTCCCTACTGGACTGCCTGGTTAAGGCTCCAGTTAATCAGTACTTATGGATCAGTTTCCTGCTAATGTGGCACCTGGCCCAGCTAGGCTGTGTTGGGCATTTGGGGAGTAAACCAGAAGATGAAAGATCTCTGTCTCGCTCTTCCTCTTCTTCCTCTTCTTCCTCTCTCTCTCTCTCTCTCTCTCCCCCCCTCTTCCCCAACCTCTCAAATAAATAAATAAAAATAAACCTTTTTAAAAGATTGACTTAACAGTTTCTGAAAAAAGGAAGCCAAAATTTTGTTTGACATCATTAAACATAAAAAGTCATTAATTTATCAAATACATTTATTGATCATGCACTCTGTCAAAGGCCTCAGCCTGTGTTTTTAAACTCTATCTTCAGGGCCAGCACTGTAGGCCGGGGCTTTAACCCACTGCGGCACAGCACCAGCATCCCATATGGGCACTGGTTCAAGTTCCAGCTGTTCCACTTCCAATCCAGCTCCCTGATAATGTGCCTGGGAAAGCAGCAAAAGATGGCCCAAGTGCTTGAGCCCCTGCACCCATGTGGGAGACTGAAGAAACTCCTGGCTCCTGGCATTGGATTAGCTCAGCTCCGGCCATTGCAGCCATCTGGGGAATGAACCAGCAGATGGAAGACATCTGTCTCTACCTCTCTAACTCTTTCAAATAAATAAAATTTTTTTAAAAATTCTATCTTTTACTTGGGATAAAATAGTATAACTAACCCAAAGATGAATAAAATATGGAACAGGAAGACCGGCGCCGTGGCTCACTAGGCTAATCCTCCGCCTTGCGGCGCCGGCACACCGGGTTCTAGTCCCGGTCGGGGCGCCGGATTCTGTCCCGGTTGCCCCTCTTCCAGGCCAGCTCTCTGCTGTGGCCAGGGAGTGCAGTGGAGGATGGCCCAAGTGCTTGGGCCCTGCACCCCATGGGAGACCAGGAGAAGCACCTGGCTCCTGCCATCGGATCAGCGCGGTGCGTCGGCCGCAGCGTGCCAGCCGCGGCGGCCATTGGAGAGTGAACCAACGGCACAGGAAGACCTTTCTCTCTGTCTCTCTCACTGTCCACTCTGCCTGTCAAAAAAAAAAAAATGGAACAGGATTTGAAAGAGTTCAGTCGTTAAGGGAAATATTTATATAATTAAATTTTACAACATTGTTAATTTACATACTCACAATAGGTGCATCTGTAATAAGTTATAAGAAGTTACAATTTGAGATGCAGCACCTAAATATTAAACCCATTTTTAATGAACTTAAAATGGAAAATAAAATTGTGACTCCTTGAAAATTCAAAATCATTCTGCCAAAGGAAACCACCAAGAAAGCAAAAAGAGGGGCCAGCACTGTGGTACAGCAGATTAGGCTACCTCTTCTGATACCAGCATAACATATCATATCAGATTGCTGGTGCAAGTCCCAGCTATTCCCATTCAGCTCCTTGCTAATGTACCTGGGAAACTCAAAGAGATTCTAGGCTCCTGGTTTCAGCCTGGCATAGCCCGCCATGGCAACCACTGGGGAAGTGAACCAGTGGATGGAAGATCTCTTTCTCTGTCTATCCCTCTCTATCACTCTTTCATACAAATGAAAAAAAATCTATTATTCAAAAAACGAAAGTAAAAAGCAACCCACAGAAAGGTAGAAAATAACATTCACAGCATAATTCTCAGAAGGGTCTACTATGTAAATTATATAAAGATTTCTACAGTTAAATAATAAAAAGATGAAATCCAATTTAAAATTGAGCAAAGAGGGGCTGATGTGTGGCAGCATGTCAAGATGCTGCTTGGGACACTAGTATCCCGTATCAAAATATCAGTTCCCAGTCCCAGTTGCTCTGCTTCTTATATAGCTCCCTGCTAATACACCTGGAAAAGCAGAAGATGGCCCAAATGCTTGGGCCCCTGACATCCACGTGGGAGACCTATAGAGTTCCAGGCTCCTGGCATCAACCGTTTGGGGAATGAACCAGCAGATGGAATATATCTTCCTCTGTCTCTCCTTCTCTCACTCTTTCAAACAAATGAATCTTTTTAAAAAATATGCAAAAGACATATAGATACACATTTCTCCAAATAAGATATACAAATCGCCAAGTACTTGAAAAAATGCCCAAGATTATTAATCATTAGGGAAATATAAATCAAAACCACAAGAAACCATGCTATACTCAATAGAATGGACAATAATGATTTAAAATACAAAAACTAAATGTTGGGAAGAATATAGAGAAATTAGATTGCACATACATTGCTAATAACAATGTAAAATGGTATAGCACTATAAAAAAAGTTTGGTAGCTACTTAAAAAATTAAACATAGGAGACATGATTGTTGTGTTGCTTCCTACAATGTCGGCATCCCATATTAAGTGCTGGTTCACATCCTGACTGCTCCATTTTCAACCCAGCTCCATGGTAATACACCTGGGAAAGTGGTAGAAGATAGCCTGTGTGGGTCCCTGTCAATCATGTGGGAGATCTGGATGGAGTTCCAGGCTCCAGTCTTCAGACTGGCCCAGACCTAGCCATTGCAGCCATTTAGGGAGTGAACCAGTAGATTGACGATCTCTAACTCTTAAATCTTTAAGAAAGATAGTTGTTGGGGCCGGCTCTGTGGGGTATGGGTAAAGCCGACGACTGTAGTGCCAGCATCCCATATGGGCGCCGGTTCGAGTCCTGGTTGCTTCACTTCGAATCCAGCTCTCTGCTATGGCCTAGGAAAGCAGCAGAAGATGGCCTAAGTCCTAGGGCCCCTGCGCCCTCATGGGAGACCTGGAAGAAGTACCTGGCTCCTGCCTTTGGATCAGCACAGCTCCGGCCGTTGCAGCCAATTGGGGAGTGAACCAGCAGATGGAAGACCTTTCTTTCTCTCTGCCTCTCCTCTCTCTATGTAACTGACTTTCAAATAAAATGAATAATTCTTTAAAAAAAAAAAGATAGTTACCAAACAATCCAACAATTCTACAACTATTCACTGACAATGAAAACAAAAGCCATGCAAAAAATTGTATATAAGTGTTCAAAATATTATCCATAACAGCCAAAACAGAAAGCACCCAAAAGCATATCAACTGATGGATGGATGAACAGAATGTGGTTTATATTCATGGAATACTATACCTCAATAGAAAATAAATGAGGGGCCAGCACTGTGGCATAGCAGGTAAAGCCACCACCTGCAGTGCCAGCATCCCATATGGGCACCAGTTCCAGTTCCGGCTGCTACACTTTCTGATCCAGCTCACTGCTATGGCCTGGGAAAACAGTGGAAGATAACCCAACTCCTTGGGCCCCTGCACCTGCATGGGAGACCCAGAAGAAGCTCCTGGCTTCTGGCTTCGAAGCGGCTCAGCTCCAGCAGCTGCGGCCATTTGGTGAAGCAAACCAGTGGATGGAAGACTTCTCTCCCTGCATCTGTTGCTCTCTAATTCTGCCTTTCAAAATAAATAAATCTTTTTTAAAAAAGAAAATGGCCGGCGCCATGGCTCAATGGGCTAATCCTCCGCCTGCAGCGCTGGCACTCCGGGTTCTAGTCCCGGTCGGGTCGCCGGATTCTGTCCCGGTTGCCCCTCTTCTAGGCTAGCTCTCTGCTGTGGACCGGGAGTACAGTGGAGGATGGCCCAGGTCCTTGGGCCCTGCACCCCATGGGAGACCAGGAGAAGCACCTGGCTCCTGGCTTCGGATCAGCACAGCACACTGGCCACAACGTGCCGGCCTTAGCGGCCACTTGGGGAGTGAACCAACAGAAAAGGAAGACCTTTCTCTCTGTCTCTCTCTCTCACTGTCCACTCTGCCTGTCAAAAAAAAAAAAGAAAAAGAAAATGAAGGAAACGTTGATACTTTCTAAAACATATTCTAAAGAAGGCAGCCACATGTCATATATGTCATATACAAACATGTATGTCATGTCATGTACAGCATGTCATATACAAAAATATTCAGAATATGCTAGTCCAGAAAGAAAACAGATTTAGTGGTCACTTGGGCATGGAGAAAGGGAGAATCAAGAGGCACGGGGTGGGGGCCAGCACTATGGCACAGTGGACTAAGCCTCCACCTGTGGTGCCAGCATCCCATATGGGTGCCAGTCCATTTCCCAGCTGCTCCTCTTCCAATCCAGCTCTCTGCTATGGCTTGAGAAAGCAGTAGAAGCCGGCCCAACTGCTTGGGCCCCTACACCTTCATGGAAGAACCAGAAGAAGCTCCTCGCTCCTGGCTTGGGATCAGCCCAGCTCCAGCCTTTACGGCCAATTGGGGAGTGGCTTCTACACTTAAAATGATTAAAATGGGGTGGGCGAATAGGAAAGCAGTTAAAAGTCTGCTTGGAATGTCACCTCC